ATTATGTAAGAATTCTAAAAGAAATTTCAAAAAAAAAGAAAAAAAAAATTTTACCTTCATGATTTTCACGATGAATACTATATCCCCTTTTTTCCATACCTACTATTAGCACCTCTATTGAGACATTTTCCTCTGAAATATGAATTCGTGAACTCAAATTTAATATATCTTGTCTAGTTGCAGTTGGTTCCCTATTTTCATCTCTGATGGCTTCATAAATTGTACTAGGCTTTGCTCCAACATTTAACATTTGTACAGCTATACGTTTGGCTTCTTGTATTAACCGACAATGCTCATGAAATACTCTTGCATCTTTAACCTTGGGATGATTATGCTTATTTATTACTTTGACAATTTGCCATTTAGAGTCTCATGGAACAGCCTTCAATAAATATGAGCACGCACAACGCTTGCTCATCCTTTTTTTTTGACGTATTTCTTCTGTTAGATTAGAGGTATTCCGGGGTTAATCACCGCATTTGCATTGGAGGTGAAAGTGACGTTGGCTACTACTCTTGATAGTTACAGCAAACCCAGAATGCCGAGCTATTTCCTGAACAGCATTTAAAATATCTTTTTTGGTAGGGTAAATTTGTCCAAGCATTTCACAAGCTACAATAATAGACAAATGCATTAATGAAATAATTAATATAAACTGTTATTGTATTTTACAATTCTTTACTTTTGGTTTCAAATTTTTCTTCATTTTCTTTATTGGACTCAGTTTTATTGTCATCAATAGATTCAACCTCATCGTCTTCATTAGATCCAATTTCGTCTTCCCCACTAAACTCGATTTGGTTATCTTCGTTAGATCCGAACTTATTTAAATTTTCAAGATCGTTCATTTTACAAAAAAGAAGCAAACGTCCAGTGCTACTATATTATAGGTATGTAAGTACAAATGTCTTGGATCACGTATAGGGTTTAACCCTTACTGATTTATTTAAATTTTTTTTTTATTTAAAACTTTTATTACATACAATTAAAATTATCAATTATGTTACAGTGTTTATCGATCTTACACATCATTATATTTATTCATTGAATTTTTATTCTCCGATCTTTTTAATTTCCGAGGAACAATAGTAATATAATCATATGGGGGTGAGTTAATAGAAATCAAGCAAATTATTTTTATTGAATTTTTTTTAAAACTTTATACATTAATAACTTAACCAAAACTTGATCAAATTTAATA